TCATTCCACTGAAATGTGATGGCTATTTAAGCATATCTCTACTCTTGAAATTGTATCAGCTCCATATAAATACATAATTCTTTCACTATGAAAACGAGGGAACATTCTAATGTATCCTGTGTAAGAATGGTGAAGTGACAGATGTATGAGTGGCTTATATTATTTACTAAGTTGACAAAAGTGGAAAATTTTTTTTCTCAATTATTCTAGCCCTGAGATGATGCCCATGAGCGAGTAGTTGTTCTCACATCCATGCATACTCAGGTGCTTTACATGAGCAAAGAAAACAAAAAATAGAGCAAGTACATGAAAAAACAATGAGTAGTCCTTGAGAACTATTTATAATGAGGTGAATGTAGCAAATTTGTTCAAAATTTCAATAATCTCATTTTACTGCACAGGAAATTGTATGAGTTTGAATTGCAATTGTGAAACTGAAAGTAATAAAAAATGCATGCAAACGTGTAGAACCAACCAAAAATCGAACAGACAAATGTGCAATTGCTGAAGGTATATATACATCATGATTATTACTTTCTGAAAGGAATATATCAGATTATTGCTTAATCAACATAACACTTTAAGCTATGATATGCAAATTGGGGATTTTCAGAGCAGGGCTTCAAAGTCAACTCTCTATTTTCAATACAAGCATTCCATTTCAGGCATGTATGTAAAACCAAATGTATGCGTGTGTGTGTGTGTGTGTGTGTGTGTGTGTGTGTGTGTGTGTGTGTGTGTATACTGTTCTTGTAACAACTGAATTTCAAGCATTTCATCATTTCTGTTGGGGAAGCTAACATATCATATCAGAAACTGTCAGCAACAAGCAGCACCTGACTCCAGAGAATAATAATCCTCCATCTCTAGGCAGAAATGGAGGCTTTTGTGTAGATAGGCAGGATGTAGACACAAGCAGAGGGATAAATGATCACCTACTACTTGCCACACTTTTTTTCCTTTTAATAATTTGAGTGAGAACTCAGCATCAATTTCATTCTTTCCCTCTCATCCACTTTCAGTCACTGCTTCTGCTGCTACATGTATTCATTCAGAAGATGACAAGAATGATTCAACAGCTCCTGTGTTCATCTACAAGGTAACCTCAGGATTTGCCTCCATTGTTGGAATTGAGATCACTGTCCTTATTGGTTCTTATTCTCCGATGAATTTGAATGTACACTGTCCTTCAATCAGAAGCAAGGAATGCTAATAAAAGAGACAGCATTGTGAGCTCTTACCAGTCAGGCTCTGGCCACATTCCAGGACACAGTGGATCCTGGGTGTGGCTAAAGCCCGACTATACATTGGATAGGCAAAGCACACTGCTCGTGACATGTACAGGAGTCAGAGCCTGTGGAAATCCCAGCAAAAGCAGGGATTGTTTGATTCCCAGGATTATAAGTACTAGTCACCTGCTCTGTCTCCTGTGCAGGACGTAGCATCCTGCTTGTGAAGCAACTGCTTCTCTGTTAAGATTTGATATTGCTGTGTCAGACTTGAAATGCTGTATCATCTGTTAGGAACATTGTCCATTGCATACCTTAGTATATGACAGATACTGGCAGAGTCAGGTTCTTTTCTTCAACCTGTAAAGGTACTGTGGGAACTATTACGGCATAGTGAGTGTTCACTACCAACCCCTAGATTTTATTATATATAATATTTAGTGACATCTGTTGAAGAAATCTTAACTATCATAAAAAGGCATGCTTTCACAATTAAATGTAGTACAAGAAATTGTTTTGATCACCCTGTTGCAATATATCATCACAGATTAATCTCTCCCAGTTTGATTTGAAGTCTCCTTGTATTTTGCCATTTAAAAGCCCTAGCCCACTCCTCTTATTCATGAGGCCAGACATGAGATTTGTTGCAAATCAATTATTTACTGGTGCTGAGTGGATGGCATTTTATATTTACATTCTAAATAATTCATACTCCAGTTTTTTTGTTTCTTGGTTATAATTTGTTTGTTTGTTTCCTTTTTTTTTTGGTTTGTTCTATAAGTGTGCAGATCTTGTCTCTGTATCCTCCACCTATGAACTCCTCTGTCTTATAATACGTTGGAATTTAGATAACACTGTTCCTACGGATTCATCTACCACCTCTGAATCTGTTATATTTTTTCTGCCTTCTTTACAACATAGAATATTGATGCTTTCTGGGTTTGAGCGGTGAGGTCAAGTAACATCACTAATAGTACACCCAAACCTGCCAGGCATTTAGAGACCCCAACTGCACATCCTTGCTTTATTTCCCACCTAGTCCATGATGGAAGACCCTGGTAAGAGACATTTGATGCCCAGATCCAACAGTAACATATATGGGAACCCAAAGAATTTTGATGTGAGACCTGAGCTTGCTTTACCAGAAAGGCTGTGTAAGACTTGATTAGACCATGGCGCTGATTACTAAGTGTTTTGAAGCACCTACAATTCTTTATGACAATTAGAAATGATGGTAAATTTATCAATTTTAATGACAGTTTTTAGGTGCTGTTACCTTCAGTTTGAAATTAACAGAGCCAAGAGGGTATTGGAAACAAAATAGCTATATAAATGGATTAGGAAGCAGTCAATAGAAGCTACATCATGCTAAGAAATGTTAAAGTGACATTATTTTTTAAAAAGAAAAGAGAGTACATAACTTTTCATATTTCGATATTTTGAAGTCTAGGATATTTCCTCAGTATAGCTCTTATGCAATGTATGAGATACATTGAAAGAGGTGTGGAGATACTGGGTTGATGCTATATTTTGATATAGGAAGCAGACAACCACGTTTGAAAGTGGTGGAAAACAAGGATAGCATCAGAGATAGGAAATTTATGAAGTTATTACTTGTGTAATCACAAAACGTGTGTGTTTTCTGAGGAATATCCATCAAAATAATTTATGCTTTCCTGAACATAGTCTACACCATAATGTAGATGGATATATCAGCAAAGTAACTGTTCATAATTATGAAGAACTTGGAAATATTATTAGAATATACAAATTAAAATATGGCAGTTTTATTGCCATCTAATTCTAGGACAAAGGCATAGTGAGTGGATAGGGTAAAATATCTGAGTTTAACTGGACAGTTTGCTTAACATATTCTGGGAATTTCATAACTGTGTACAAATAGTAGATGGACTTTTTAATTAAAGATGAAATAT